TTGAAATGGGGCTATGCTACTTGCCTGGGTTGTTGGAATACATATTGAGTAACATTCAGTAATAATACACATTTAATACACATTAATTACATACAGCTTAGGCTATACCATATGGGAGATAGAAAAAGATTATAGCTGACTCCAGAAACTGTAACAATTGACAATTAACATAACATTAGAAGAATTGCCACTTGGGGGGGGGGTTATTGTGGTACTTAAGAACACACTGCAATGAAAAATAAAGCCCCACATAGGCCTGGCTATTGGTTTATCGTTTTGAAATGGGGCTATGCTACTTGCCTGGGTTGTTGGAATACATATTGAGTAACATTCAGTAATAATACACATTTAATACACATTAATTACATACAGCTTAGGCTATACCATATGGGAGATAGAAAAAGATTATAGCTGACTCCAGAAACTGTAACAATTGACAATTAACATAACATTAGAAGAATTGCCACTTGCATGCAGACGATGGAAAATTAGCATAGTGGTTATAACAATCCTTGCAGGCTTTTACAAAACTTGAGATCAAACATAACATGTATATTTGCAATTTTAGCAGAAGCTTTTATCCAACGCGACTTACAGTCATGCATACACTTTAAGTATGGGTGGTCCCGGGAATTGAACCCACTACCCTGGCGTTACAAGCACCATGCTCTCTACCAACTGAGCTACAAAGGACACATGTCGCCTACACTATCTGATAAAGCAAAGGGTGTATCAGTACAGGAGCCAAGAGGCATGCTGTCTTCAATGACATTGTGAAGTGGAGTGTTTACGTCAGGGTTCTTCAATCCTGGTCCTGGAGGGCCGAGACACCTCTGTTTTTCATCCTCTCCTTCTAATCAGGGGCTAATTCAGACCTGGGACACCAGGTGAGTGCAATTAACTACCAGGTAGAAATAAAAAACAGAAGTGTTTCGGCCCTCCAGGACCAGGATTGAAGAACCCTGGTTTACGTGATGCCTGGAAAAGGTCGTACTTACCTATCAGTGATACTGGACTGTGTGTCGCTCATTGGGCTCCCGTTTCTAGATTTGCTGTGATTTATATCCAATTATCATTTTCCAAAATATGATAAGAGTCTCTTTGCAGAGTCCTTCCCTAACATCCGTCTGTGTTGAGATGCTTGAAAAGGGTGATGACATACAAAATCAACAACATTGAGAGCTGAATCTCCAAATAACAATGTTATGAAAACACCTTAAAAATTGTCGGCGATAGACTCCCAGTGAAAATGAATGTCTGGGTATGTCCTAATACTGAATTCAATACCTCAATTGAATAGTTTTGCAGTGAAATGGTACCTATTCAGACAAGCCACTAATGATAATGCAACTTTCGCTGCTGTAACAATTTCTTGAGATAAATTAGGACCTCTAATCACTCCTCGTCTTACGTCGTGCAGATCTCCACCTTTTCGCAGAAGACACCGGGGGTCAGGGACGATGTTCCTATTGACAATGATGTGTTCCCTTGGAAAATATTGATACAGGCTCCACTTTCACTCTTTCTGCATCTATCTCCATGTACGAATCCTTTGACGTCAATCAAAATGGATCGCATCACACTTATTTTTCTAAATGTAAAACCCTATAGGAAATACCCTATAGGAAATACAACCAGTTAACCTGGCCTGGTGTAATAATAGTCAACTAGTAAGCGTGTCTTTTGTGAAAGATATTGAAAATCGAGTCAGTCCCATTTGGTGTTCCCAGCCTCCAGATTTGCATTTATCCGTGGACGAGCAGCCCCTCGTGACCATGAGAATTTCTAAAAACTGACGACAAGTCTGAGTTGAAACCCGTGTTGTGAATTAGCTAACTAGTTAGTAATTATTGCAGCAACATAACAAACTAGGTAATAGTCCTAGCTTGATTAACTAGCTATAGCAAATGCATTAGTTTTTTTCCAGCTAGCTATTGCACTATTTAGCTTGCTAGCTAATATGCCCCTCTAAATTTGTTGGGAGCTTCAGTTCAGTTAGCTTGAACTGAAGCTAGCCAGACTATAACGTTAGCGTTGTTAACTCCAGGGAGTGGAAAATGGGACGCCTTTTTCCCCAGTAGACTCGAAACGTGTCCGATAATATACGTTTTCCTTACAAGTTTTACGATTGATAGCTAGCTACGAAACAAAGTAAATCCTTGAAAATCAGCCGACTGAATAGTGAATGTGAATTAGCTACAATACTAGCTTGCTGCAGTCTCGGCCAACGGTGGCTAACTAGCTATATCTAGCAACGAACACAGGGGAACTCTTTCAGTAGCTACAAAACTTTGCTTCGTGTGCTCCGACAATCCTGAATGTCATTCCCAAAAACGAAATCCCAAAAACACGCTTCCCAACAAATATAAAAGGTGTCCCGTCGAATATGAAGTCCGCACGAGCTAAGGAACCGTTTCAAATGTTTCTTGTAAATCTCCTTCAGGGTTGCAAACATCCACAAAACTTAACGGAGCGCAGTTTTCATTGACTCCATGTTTCCAGAATTTAGACAATTTGAGTTGTTTCTCTGCAGAATTCCCTTGGATGTCTATGCTAACAAGGATAGCTAGCTAGCAAACGAATTATCTATTTTACAAACAAAAAAAACTCCGAGCCGGTTATCACTTTAGAATAATGTGATTATTAGGATGTGTCTCCAGATATGGTATTGAGGAGAAAATAAATAACTTTATACAATTTCCCAACATTTCAGGATAGCTACGCCCTCGCCCTGACCAAAAGCTCCCAATCTACTTCCGCCGGGAGAAACAATAATACTTGCCAGACTTTCATAAATAATAACAATAATAATACATTCGTCTTTTTCATTGTGGTGTCTGATTGGATGTCCTTGGCAGATGGGATTTTTTTTAAAAAGGTGCTACTTTCATAACTAATAATAACAATAATAATACATTCCTTTTTCATTATGGTGTCTGATTGGATGTCCTTGGCAGATGGGATTACAAATTTACATTTTACTGTAGGCAAAATGTATATTGAACTTAAAATGTAGCTACATTTTCTGTGAAACCTAACATTATCATTGTTATTATTGGCCTAATGATTATCACATTGGTATTCTACAACACCATCTTATATTCCCCTCATTGTTTCTACTTATTTATTTGTTCCTGTGTTATACCACTTCTAAAATTGGAAAACATCTGACACTCCAAAATCAAAGTTTGTCAGATGTTTTCAGGTCTCAGAAAGTGGTCTAATGTCAAGAGAAGTCCATGTTTCATGTTAACTGTTCTATGCCTCCAACCCAAATGAATGGAAACAAGGCACAGAATAAAATGAGATCCCTATACCGCTCCCATTCATTTGGGATTCAGGTATACTGTATTATTGGATCTACACAGCAGATGACTTAGGGCGTGGACTCATCAGGACTCACCTTTTGGGGTCTGACAACTTCTGACAAATGTTAATTTGTGGGTGAACTATCCCATTAAAATGACCAGTTAATAAAGTAGAATAATTTACTGCTGTGACAATCATAACTCATAAATCATAACACATTACAGGGTTAAATGGTTATGGCATTTAACAGCAAAACTGTTCAAACATAACATTTTTGGTTGAGCACTCTACTACAGTATTTTGGAGGATTGTTGATTTACAAATGCCACCATGTGGACAATTTGAATACTTCAAGCACAGAGCACTCTGTGATGGCTATAGCGCAATAAGCCTATCCTACAGTATGTGACACGGCTACACTACTTTTTTGAATGCAATATAGGCTAGTATCCCTTTAAAGTTGTTGTAATAACATACAAATAAATATTTTAAAGTTAAGTCTAACAAGTGGCAAAGTAGTATTTCCCTGAGTAAAAAAAACCTGTTCAAATAGTTCAAAAAAATATGTTATACTATATAGGCCTACTGGGACGCAATCATTGTGGAATATTTTACTTGATATTACAGCACATATTTCTATACCAGCTCCGTATTCAGGGTATTTATTGAACACACAACAAAAGTAAACATTACATTTGAACACGTATAATGTCCCAAAGGCACACTTGTATTATTCTCCCTTATCACAGACACACAGAATGTTGACATACAAATTGTATCTAACTATTTAGGCACCAGATTGAAATATTTCATTGAAAAGTAGTGAATTTCAAATATGAATGCATACAATATTGGGAAATGTGACCTAGCATCATACTGGAACATGTTAAGCAATACAGTGCACAAACATTTAGCACAAATTGTTGTTTACCAATTGGTATTTCAAACTAATTTACAATGACTAATATACACTCAATCAAGCAATAGAATGCCACTAAACATATTATTTCAGTTTGTTACACAAATACAAATAATTTGTTACTGATTGTTACGGATTTGTTGTTGCTGTGAGCTTTAATGAATAACTTTTGTGCAAAGCATTATTGTAGCTAAATGGAAAGACAGTTATCATAAGAAACATTTAGCTTTTTACTGAGTTTTATGTTATATAAAAGCCAGTGTCATGTAACACTGCAATCTCAGCGAGCGTTAATAAACATCTTCCTAAAAAATAAATGGAATGGAACTTGGGATATTCCATGGAATATTTTGAAATGGCTTATAAATTCTACCACAATTTGAATTAGACTGAAATTAGAAAAATTACACTCAACACATTGCAAAATATTTATAAAAGTAGAATTTCTGCAGGAAAACTACTGCATTCAACAACAAAATACTGCAAAAGGAATTAAACAGTCAGTTTCGGTTCAATTTCACTGCATCAAAAAAGGTGTGGCCTAACCTATGAGGATTAGAGAACGTTATTTGTCTGCTTCCCAATAGTCAATTTATTGCTGGATACAAGGTTAGAAGAACATACTATTAGGTTACAGTTCATTGCAATTAGGTTGTGAAATACATGTGTTCATCATACTGGCACTAGGGCCTTTGGTTTGAAAGACAAACTATGTCTCAATTGTTTTTGTTACAGTTGTACATTTTTGAAGATACTTTTGCAACATTCTCTTGCACTTGTTTTTAATTAAAGTAAAATAAAAAAATATACAAGTGTTAGCTAAATACCAACAAATATTCCCCAATAACCATATAGGCCTAAATAATGGCTTGACTTTGACCCCATGCTTACAGTATGCACAACCATTAAATGAATAAAGGTGGTCTATTAGTATAAACATTGGACATTTTTATTAATCTTCTAAAGATAAGGAAGTCTTTCAGTCTGTCTTTCTATCACGTCCGTTAACTGTTGCCAGTCTGTGTTGGTCTCTCCAGCGTCTGTATTTGGATTGACTCTTGCGGTAGGCGAAACGACCAATGTCCACCATGAACACCCAGGACAGCACATACATGGCAACTCCCCCACACTTTATAATGAACCTGGGCAGTGGGGAGATGAGCTCGCAGTACAACATCCTCCCGCCAACCACTATGCGCATGAACACAAATAGCACTACAAACAGAACATCGACCGCCTCCCCTGTCAGGCTCTCATAGCGACCCAACTGTCTCAGGAACCAGCGAGCTTGCAGCAGGGGGTTGGTGATCTCGCTAGCAAAGATTACGGCACAGGACTCGATGCCTGATTCCCCCAAGCTCAGGGTCAACAAGATACCCAGGATGCTCATGGTGTGGTGGACCAGCATCACCGGGCCCTCGGTGCGGAAGTACATACACCAGCCCATGTCGAAGATGAAGTAGCCCAGGCTAATGACCATAGCACTGATCTGAAGGGGGGTGTTCTTTGTGCCTGGAATCAAGATCACAACGTTATTGTAAACACTCTTCATGGTTAGTAACATTGTCATACACACATCAAATTACTGTATACTAGGCAAGAAAACTCTACATAAAGAACATTTGGTTATGGATGTAACCTTGGTTCTCTGAGTTGATTAAAGGGTCGCCAAACGACCTATGGGAACTCCTTCCCCTTCTCACGCGATGAGATGCTTAATATCAAAGATGTTTACAGTCACGCCACTCCCTTACTGTATCCACGTGACTTGTCACTATAAAAGGTGATGTGACGTGACATACTGTCAATTACTTCACTTGAATTCCACGGAGGCGGAGGAACGACATGAAAGCTTGGTGATCCGTTACTCTACTCAGAGAACCAGGGCTAAATCTGTAACGTTCTCTTTCGCTTTCGTAAAGGGGTTGCTGTACCAAACAGGTGGTTCAGGCAACAGAGTGGGATACCTCACCATTAAACCTTAGTCCAGATGAGTCCCTGGGAAGTCCTTGTATCCACCACAGCAGGGTTTCCCAAACCTCTCCTCAGGCCCAGACATTTCACATTTTTGTTTTAACCCTAAACTGCCACACCTGATTCAATTAGTCAAAGGATTTAGGGTTCAAACAAAAATGTCAAACATCTGGGGGGGCCCGAGGACAGGGTTGTGAAATCCTGCACCACAGGATGCAACAGAATATGGATGGATTAAACAGGGTGGATTAAATGTCAACTGTAGTATACAACTGTAAACACACACAAGCTGAAACTTAAAACACGAGAGGCTTCAATTAGGTGTAACAAGCCCACTGTAAGAGCACCCATCTCACTGATGGTTGAAAAGTATGTACAAGGTTCACAGTACGCTCACTTATCTGGGTTGAGAGAGTGTGCCGTGTCCAGAACCACAGACCCCACTGCTGGTGTGGACATAACATTGAGTCTGTAGTACCTCATGAAAGTCATGGGTGTTGATTCCAGGGAGGCCCCTCTGAACAGGGCCCTTGAGGTGGCCAAACCCCTGGTGGAGTGTGATACCATGCCACCTGGAGTTGGTCTACCTGCTGCAACGTATGATTGACACTGCATTGGTAATCCAATATGCCAGTCTCTGCTTTTCGAGACAGCGCAACCTTTGGTGTTCTCCCCATAACACACAAAAAGCTGTTCTGTTTGATAAATAGTTATTGTTGCAGCAAGACAGGTACTCAATGCCCTAACCGTGCAAAGTGTATGCAACTCACGACTCTCCTGTGAGAAGTTGGGAGGCTGTCATACACACATTCAATGTAGATGGCGACTTCCCTGCAGAAATAAGCTTCTGGAGAAAAGTCAAAATGTCAGAAATTGGGCAGGAAGATGGCGATTCTGCATGGGCAATACAACACTTCCTGAACACGTTCCACTTGTAGGAATATAGTCTTTGTGTAGAGGTTTCTGAGCAGAGTGTTGGCTTTTGAGCAGGATTATGAACTGTTGTTTTCAAGACACCCCTGAAGCGGGCCTAAGCGTAGCCTTATGTCACTGTGCGTAACACCCATTTGTTGGCCATTGACCTTTGTCAGCCTGGTGGTGATCAAGGAAACAGTGTTGCGCTAGAGAGTCGGTCCCATCAGGACCAAGGCTCTGTGTGCTGTGGTGCAGAGGGTAAGTGGCCTGCATGTGGTGCATCTCTGCCTCTTCCGAGGGCGATAAGGCACTCCACCTCTTCGGTAGGACAGAGTGTCTGTTCCTCTACTTATGAGCAGGTGCAGCCTATCTGAGCCTGGTTTTTGGCATCACAGTTGGGGGCCTGGGACAGGAGAAATGGTTTGCTGGCTGACACATTCTTGGCTTTGGAATGAGGCGCTGAAGGTCCGTCTGTGCTTCTCTGTCCTCCTTAGACACTTGGAGGTGGGCCGCTGCTGGGCCAAATGTCTGGCCAGGTGATATGGGTATACCTAAGAGTGGAACTTTCTCTTTGTCAGGGAGCTTGGAGTGTGCTAACCATAGATGGCGCTGTGCAACACACAGTGTGGCCAAAGTTCTGAGCATTGCAGCTACTTCTGATAGAAGCGGTGCTGTCATGTGTACTGCGTAGGAAGCGATCAGATGCCCTGCATCGTTTGTTAGGCAGCTCTTGGTCTGAACTGTGAGACCCTTTGCTATGAGACTCGAAATTGAGCTCAAGTGCATCCTGTTTCCATTGATCATCCTTGAGATGTTTCTACAACTTGATTGGACATGATTTGGAAAGGCACACACCTGTATATACAAGGTCCCACAGTTGACAGTGCATGTCAGAGCAAAAACCAAGCCATGAGGTCGAAGGAATTGTCCGTAGAGCTCCGAGACAGGATTGTGTTGAGGCACAGATCAGGCCTTTTTGTGGCCAGACGGTGACGGAAGCCACTCCTGAGTAAAATGGCAGTAGCAATGAGCGTTGCTAGTGCCAGGCCAACAGGCTGGGACTGGATGATGCTAGAGCCAGGGTGCATACCATCAGAGTGATCATAGTCTGTGGCATAAGAGTGGGAAGCTCTTGTGGACAGTACATCAGTGTCATCCGATTCAACAACCACACTCTGTTCAGAGGTAGGGGTTGAGTTTGGTACCGGCAAAGGAAATCTGGCCAGGATGTGCTCAAGGATGGACTCAATGGTTGCCATGCGACTGCCCAGTGACATAATCTCCTTGTGCACCTCAGTGCGGTGAAATTTGTGCCCAGGTGAGGATGAGCGATGTCGTTAATTGGGCGGTGGATCACGTGGGGAGTGAGAACTGTCATTTGACCTGGAGCGTTTGGAATGATCTGCAGAGGAAGGTCTATGATCAATGATCTGTGTGGCAGATTCATCTGATGACAGTCCGGAGGTTCCGTCCACAAAGCTCTAAAGTCGAGATTTCAATGCTCTCGGTTTGAATTTCTGACAGTGAGTACAACAGCTGCTACTCTGTGCAGCCGCTTGAGCATGTTCAGCTCCCAAGCAAAGAATGCAAAGAGTGTGCTCATCTGAGGCTGGTAGTTGTTTCTCACATTGTTGACAAGGGTGGAATGACATCCTGAGTACAGCACTGAATCTGTGTGCAAGGAACGGATTTTCACCCAATTGTATCCACAAGAGAAGTGTGTTCCAAGAAAAAGTTGCAATAATAAAAAATATGCTAAATAGCTTTGTGTCTTGGTGTGCCTCATTGTCTGCTTCGATGCTTCAAGCTGGTGCCTCGGTGTCGGCTTCAAGAGAATAGCTAACAACACTGAGCATCAGCTCTGATCCGTAGAGCTTCGGCGTCGAGACTCCTGCTTAAATATGTAGCAAAGTCTGGGCATGAGACTCGCGCCTATACAGAACTCAATACATTTTATGCACGCTTCGACAAAACAACACAGAGCTGTGCACGAGCGCCCTCACTGTCACAGAGGAATGGGTGATCTTGCTCTCCAAGGCCGACTTGAATAAGGTTTTTAATCTGGTCAACATTCGCAAGGCCGTTCTCAGAGCATGCGCAGACCAGCTCGCAGGCATCTTCACGGTGATTTTCAACCTCTCCTTGTCCCAGTCTGTAATCCCCACGTCTCAAGCTGACCACCATCATTCCCGTTCCCAATAACTCTAAGGCTACCTGCCACAATGAGTACTGACCTGTAGCACTAACATCTGTAATCATGAAGTGCTTTGAAAGGCTGGTCATGGTAAATATCACCTCCATCATCCAAGTCCCAATCCAATTTGCATACCACCCCAACAGATTTACAGACAACGCAATCTCAATTGCACTCCACACTGCCTTCTCCTACCTGGAAAAGAGGAATCCCTATTTCAGAATGTTGTTCATTGACTACAGCTCAGCATTCAACACCATAGTGCCCTCCAAGCTCGTCACCAAGCTAGGGACCCTGGGACTGAACATCTCCCTCTGCAACTGGATCCTGGACTTCCTGACGGGCCAACCCCAGATGGTTAGAGTAGGCAACAACACCACCGCCAAGCTGACTATGAACACAGGGGCCCCCTAGGGGTATGTGCTTAGCCCCCTCCTGTATTCTATGTTTATCCACGAATGTGTGGCCACGCACATCATCAACTCCATCATCAAGTTTGCTGACGACACAACGGTTGTAGGCCTGATCACCAACGGAGATGAGAAAGCCTACAGGAAAAAGGTCAGAGAACTGCCAGTGTGTTGCCAGGACAACAAACCTCTCCCTCAATGTCAGTAAGACCAAGGAGCTGATCATGGACTACAGGAAACAGGGGTGAGGTCAAGAGCTTCAAGTTCCTCGGTGTTCACATCACTAAGGACTTAACATGGTCCTCTCACACCAGAACAGTCGTGAAGAAGGCACGGCAACGCCTCTTATCCCTTGGGAGGTTGAAATGATTTGGCATACCCCTCAGATCCTCAGGAACTTTAACAGCTGCACCATTGAGAGCATCCTGACTGGTTGTATCACTCTCTGGTATGGCAACTGCCCCACCCGCGACCGGAAGGCCCTACAGAGGTAGTTGTGGACGTTCCTGCCGGTGTCTGAGAAAGGGTCAAAATACTGCCAAAGACTTTAGCCGTCCGAGACATGGACTGTTCTCCATGCTCCCGTCCAGCAGGCTGTACCGGTGCGTCAAGGCTCAGAACAACAGACTCCTAAACAGCTTCTATCCCCTGGCCATAAGACTCTTAAATGGCTAACAACTACTGCTCTCCCTCTCCCACTGACTATCCACACTGACTCTATCTATGCCCATCCACAGGTCTCTAACAACTCAGACACAACCTACGCTGCTGCTAAAATTATTATTGATTCGATTTATTACTCCATTACGCAGCTGTCCATTGATTATTGATTGCCATTACTATTAGTATTTTTCCTGTTACTGGTCACTATTTCTCCCGTTTACATGTATACACTGTGTTCCATGAAAAAGACTGACCAGGTGAATCCAGGTAAAAACTATGATCCCTTATTGATGTCAATAAGCCTTGAACTAATTGAGACATGGAAAGAAAGGATTTAAGTGCCTTTGAACGGGGTATGGTAGTAGGTGCCTGGCGGTTTGAGTGTGTAAAGAACTGCAACGCTGCTGGGTTTTTCGCGTGGAACAGTTTCCTGTGTGCATCCAGGATTGTCCACCAGCCAAAGGACATCCAGCCAACTTGACACAACTGTGGGAAGCATTGGAGTCAACGTGGGCCAGCATCCCTGTGGAACGCTTTCGACACATTTTAGAGTCCATGCCCCAACGAATTGAGGCTGTTCTGAGGGCAAAAGGAGGTGCAACTCAATATTAGGAAGGTGTTCCTAATGTTTTGTACACTGAGTGTACATTACAATTAGTATATTACCATAAGTACAGTGGCTTGCGAAAGTATTCACCCCCCTTGGCATTTTCCTTATTTTGTTGCCTTACAACCTGCACTTAAAATTGATTTTTTGGGGGTTTGTATCATTTGATTTACACAACATGCCTACCACTTTGAAGATGCAAATTTTTTTCTATTGTGATTCAAACAAGAAATAAGACAAAAAAAACAGAACACTTGAGCGTGCATAACTATTCACCCCCCCAATGTCAATACTTTGTAGAGCCACCTTTTGCAGCAATTACAGCTGCAAGTCTCTTGGGGTATGTCTCTATAAGCTTGGCACATCTAGCCACTGGGAGCTTTTCCCATTCTTCAAGGCAAAACTGCTCCAGCTCCTTAAAGTTGGATGGGTTCCGCTGGTGTACAGCAATCTTTAAGTCATACCACAGATTCTCAATTATTGGATTGAGGTCTGGGCTTTGACTAGGCCATTCCAAGACATTTCAATGTTTCCCCTTAAACCACTTGAGTGTTGCTTTAGCAGTATGCTTAGGGTCATTGTCCTGCTGGAAGGTGAACCTCCGTCCCAGTCTCATATCTCTGGAAGACAAACAGGTTTCCTTCAAGAATTTCCCTGTATTTAGCGCCATCCATCATTCCTTCAATTCTGACCAGTTTACCAGTCCCTGCCGCAGGAAAAACATCCCCACAGCATGATGCTGCCACCACCATGCTTCACTGTGGGGATGGTGTTCTCAGGGTGATGAAAGGTGTTGGGTTTTGCGCCAGACATAGAGTTTTCCTTGATGGCCAAAAAGCTCAATTTTAGTCTCATCTGACCAGAGTACCTTCTTCCATATGTTTGGGGAGTCTCACACATGCCTTTTGGCAAACACTATTTTTTTCTTTAAGCAATGGCTTTTTTCTGACCACTCTTCCATAAAGCCCAGCTCTGTGGAGTGTACGGCTTAAAGTGGTCCTATGGACAGATACTTCAATCTCCGCTGTGGAGCTTTGCAGCTCCTTCAGGGTTATCTTTGGTCTCTTTGTTGCCTCTCTGATTAATGCCCTCCTTGCCTGGTCCATGAGTTTTGGTGGGCGGCCCTCTCTTGGCAGGTTTGTTGTGGTGCCATATTCTTTCCATTTTTGAATAATGGCTTTAATGGTGCTCCGTGGGATGTTCAAAGTTTCTGATATTTTTTTTATAACCCAACCCTGATCTGTACTTCTCCACAACTTTGTCCCTGACCTGTTTGGAGAGCTTCTTGGTCTTCATGGTGCCGCTTGCTTGGTGGTGCCCCTTGCTTAGTGGTGTTGCAGACTCTGGGGCCTTTCAGAACAGGTGTATATATACTGAGATCATGTGACACTTAGATTGCACACAGGTGGACTTTATTTAACTAATTTCTGAAGGTAATTGGTTGTTCCCAGATCTTATTTAGGAGCTTCATAGCAAAGGGGGTGAATAGATATGCACGCACCACTTTTCTGTTATTTATCTTTTGAATTTTTTGAAACAAGTACTTTTTTTCATTTCACTTCACGAATTTGGACTAGTTTGTGATTGTCCAATGCATGAAATCCAAATAGATAAAACCATTGAAATTACAGGTCATAATGCAACAAAATAGGAAAAACGCCAAGGGGGCTGAATACTTTTGCAAGGCACTGTATTTATATAGTCCTGGAACAGTACCATCTAGTGGTCAGAACCTGGTATCAGGATGTAGGATGGGACATAAACCAAGCAACTTAAAATGACCAATTTCTCTGAACAGAAAAAAATATTAACAAAAAAAAAAAAATCACTGAGATACATTACATTAGATGAAGAAACAATACTCTGAGCCGAAGCTCCATACTACTTGTCAGACATAGAGAACTGATACTCTATACTCGTTGTTGGGTTGGGATTGGTGTGGGGTGTGGGGGTCCGTGGGTGGCTTTTGACCATTTCTTGGATTCCTAATGTCTTACTCATTGTTAGAAAAAAACTTTGGTCCAAATCGGATGTAAGGTACTACATTTATTGAATATTATATGAAGCCTATAAATTAAAATAGCCAATTTGGGTGCAATCAATTAGCTTAATTTCTCACAGATAAAATTATATGTAAACAATTTTTTTTGTGCCAAAATTTTAATCTTACCTGTGTCTAACTACAGAAACGATTTCAGAACAATATGAGATGATGATGTCATGGCTTGCTGAAATGACTTGGAATGACTATACCAACTTAACCACCTTTAGAGAAAGGTTGTATAGAAGCAGCACTCTACATGGAAACGATTACACTGTTTCAGTGCAATTAGATAGTGAGCATCTTACCTGGATGTGTGAAGGGCCAAGGTCCATCCACATAGCCTATGTATGCTGTTATGCAGACCGCCAGGATGCCATGGAGCAGTGTGACCAGCCTACAGTTCCACTCAGAGCCACGGCTTCCATTGGTGTTACACAGTAGGGTGTAGAGAGTGATCCAGCCTGTTAGGCAGAGGACCACGCCAACAGGCAGCGATGTCATCCCTCAGCTAAGTACACAAAAACAAAACAAAAACCACTTAATGACCAACACACACACATAAATACATATACAGTGAGGGAAAAAAGTATTTGATCCCGTGCTGATTTTGTATGTTTGCCCACTGACAAAGAAATGATCCATCTATAATTTTTATGGTAGGTTTATTTGAACAGTGAGAGACAGAATAACAACAACAAAATCTAGAAAAACGCATTTCAACGATGTTTATAAATTGATTTGCATTTTAATGAGGGAAATAAGTATTTGACCCCCTCTCAATCAGAAAGATTTCTGTCTCTCAGGTGTCTTTTATACAGGTAACGAGCTGAGATTAGGAGCACACTCTTAAAGGGAGTGCTCCTAATCTCAGTTTGTTACCTGTATAAAAGACACCTGTCCACAGAAGCAATCAATCAATCCGATTCCAAACTCTCCACCATGGCCAAGACCAAAGAGCTCTCCAAGGATGTCAGGGACAAGATTGTAGACCTACACAAGGCTGGAATGGGCTACAAGACCATCGCCAAGCAGCTTGGTGAGAAGGTGACAACAGTTGGTGCGATTATTCGCAAATGGAAGAAAATAACTACACGGGAGGATCTTGTCAATGATCTCAAGGCAGCTGGGACAATAGTCACCAAGAAAACAATTGGTAATACACTACACCGTGAAGGACTGAAATCCTGCAGCGCCCACAAGGTCCCCATGCTCAAGAAAGCACATATACATGCCCGTCTGAAGTTTGCCAATGAACATCTGAATGATTCAGAGGAGAACTGGGTGAAAGTGTTGTGGTCAGATGAGACCAAAATCGAGCTCTTTGGCATCAACTCAACTCGCCGTGTTTGGAGGAGGAGGAAGGCTGCCTATGACCCCAAGAACACCATCCCCACCGTCAAACATGGAGGTGGAAACATTATGCTTTGGGGTTGTTTTTCTGCTAAGGGGACAGGACAACTTCACCGCATCAAATGGACGATGGACGGGGCCATGTACCGTCAAATCTTGGGTGAGAACCTCCTTCCCTCAGCCAGGGCATTGAAAATGGGTCGTGGATGGGTATTCCAGCATGACAATGACCAAAAACACACAGCCAAGGCAACAAAGGAGTGGCTCAAGAAGAAGCACATTAAGGTCCTGGAGTGGCCTAGCCACTGAACGTTCGAGATGAACGTTCGAGTTGCCAAACGTCAGCCTCGAAACCTTAATGACTTGGAGAAAATCTGCAAAGAGGAGTGGGACAAAATCCCTCCTGAGATGTGTGCAAACCTGGTGGCCAACTACAACAAACGTCTGACCTCTGTGATTGCCAACAAGGGTTTTGCCACCAAGTACTAAGTCATGTTTTGCAGAGGGGTCAAATACTTATTTCCCTCATTAAAATGCAAATCAATTTATAACATTGCGTTTTTCTGGATTTTTTTGTTGTTATTCTGTCTCTCACTGTTCAAATAAACCTACCATTAAAATTATAGACTGATCATGTCTTTGTTAGTGGGCAAACGTACAAAATTAGCAGGGGATCAAATACCTTTTTCCCTCACTGTAGAAGTTTCATAAGATTGCATGAGCACTTCATTTTCTACCATCACCAACAATATCAGTTATGCTCAAGATTTGTGCAAGCAAGTCCGATTAGCCTGCATTTTATGTTCAGTAAATGTTCTGTAAAATGCAGACTAATTGCAATATTGAAATACAGTGCCTTCAAAAGGTATTCACACCCCTCGACTTTTCTACATTTTGTTGTGTTACAAAGTGGGATTAAAATGGATTTCAGTGTAATCTTTTGGTCAAAGATCTACACAAAATACTCTGTAATGTCAAAGTGGAAGATAAATTCTAACATTTGTAAAACATTTATGAAAAATAAAACACAAATATATCTTGATTAGATAAATATTCATCCCCCCGAGGTAATACATGTTAGAATCACCTTTGGCAGCGATTACAGCTCAGTCTTTCTGGGTAAGTCGCTAAGAGCTTTCCACACAAGCTCTGTTGGTCATTGCTAGACAACCATTTTCAGGTCTTACCATAGATTTTCAAGCAGATTTAAGTCAAAACTGTAACTTGGCCACTCAGGAACATTCACTGCCTTCTTGGTAAGCAACTTCAGTGTAGATCTAGCCTTCTGTTTAAGGTTATTGTGCTGCTGAAAGGTGAATTCATCTCCCAGTGTCTGGTGGAAAGCAGACAGAACCAGGTTTTCCTCTAGGATTTTGCCTGTGCTTAGCTCCATTCCGTTTATTTTTTATACTGAAAAACTCCCCAGTCCTTAGCGGTTACAAGCATACACATAACATGAAGCAGCCACCACTATGCTTTAAAATATGGAGAGTGGTACTCAGTAATGTGTTGCATTGGATTTGCCCAAACATAACACTTTGTATTCAGGACAAAAAGTTAATTGCTTTGCCACATTTTTTGCAGTATTACTTTAGTGCCTTGTTGCAAACAGGATGCATGTTTTGGAATATTTGTATTCTGTACAGGCTTCCTCCTTTTCACTCTGTCAATTAGGTTAGTATTGCGGAGTAACTACAATGTTTCTCCTATTTACATTAAACTCTGTAACTATTTTAAAGTCACTATTGGCCCCATGGTGAAATCCCTGAGCAGTTTCCTTCCTCTCCGGCATCTGAGTTAGGAAGGACGTCTGTTTCTTTGTAGTGATGGGGTGTATTGATACAACATCGAAAGTGTAATGATTAACTTCACCATGCTCAAAGGGATATTCAATGTCTGCTCTTTTTATTTTTACACATCTACAAATCGGTGCCCTTCTTTGCGAGGCATTGGAAAACCTCCCTGGTCTTTGTGGTTGAATCTGTGTTTGAAATTCACTGCTCGACTGTCGAACCTTACAAATAATTTTATGTGTGGGGTACAGAGATGAGGTAGTCATAAAAAAATCATGTTAAAAACTATTATTGCACACAGAGTGAGTCCATGCAACTTATTATGTGACTTGCTAAGCACATTTTTACTCCTGAACTTATTCCGGCTTGCCATAACAAAGGGGTTGAATACTTATCGACTCAAGACCAGCGGTGTAAAGAACTTAAGTAAAAAAACATAAAAGTACTACTTAAGTCGTTTTTTGGGGTATCTGTACTACTATATATATATATATATATATATATATATTTATACTTCACTACATTCCTAAAGACAATAATGTACTTTTTACTCCATACATTTTCCCTGACACCCAAAAGTACTCGTTACATTTTGAAAGCTTAGCAGGACAGGAAAACGGTCCAATTCACGCACTTTTCAAGAGAACATCCCTGGTCATCCCTACTGCCTCTGATCTGGCGGACACACCAAACACAAATGCTTCGTTTGTAAATTATGTCTGAGTGTTGGAGTGTGCCCCTGGCTATCCGTAAATAAATAAAAATTGTGCCGTCTGGTTTGCTTAATATATAATCAATTTGAAATGATTTATACTTTTCTTTTCTTTTGATACTTACCTATATTTAAAACCAAATGCTTTTAGACTTTTACTTTAGTAGTATTTTACTGGGTGACTTTCACTTTTACTTTTACTTGAGTCATTTTCTATTAAGGTATCTTTACTTTTACTCAAGTATGACAATTGGGTACTTTTTCCACCACTGCTCAAGACATTTCAGCTTTTCATTTATAAATAATTTGTAAAAATTAACTCACCAAAAATCTAAATTGAATCAATTTTAAATGAATGCTGTAAGACAACACACTCACCACATACGCTGCTGCTACTGTCTATTGTATATCTTGTTGCGTAGTCACTTTACCCGTACCTATATGTACAGTACATAGCAGCTCAATTACCTTGTATCCCTGCACATCGACTTGGTACTGGTACTGTATATAGTCATGTTATTTTCTGCTCGCTATATATCCATGTTATTTTTACTTGTTATTTTTATTCGTTATTCACTGTGTATTTATTCCTTGTGTTAATATTTCAATTTTTTATTACATTTTGTATTTTATCTTTAACTCTGCATTGTTGGAACGGACCCGTAAAAATGGACCCGTAAGTAAGCATTTCACTGTTAGTCTACACCTGTTGATTTTTATTTGAACAAAATGTGGGAAAAGGATGTGAATACTTTCTGAAGGCACTGTACATTACCTTCCAATGAACCTGTGTTATAATTAAGCAATAAGGCCTGAGGAGGTGTGGTATATTGGCCATAAATCACAAACCCCCGAGGTGCCTTATTGCTATTATAAACTGGTTACCAACGTAATTAGAGCAGTGAAAATAAATGTTTTGTCATACCCGTGGTATACGGTCTGAGATACCACAGCTGTCAGCCAATCAGCAGTCAGGGCTAAAACCACCCAGTTTATAATCCAAAGTGACTGATGAACAGTGTACGTCTAAACTGAGCATCTTGTTTTTCTGAACTGAGCACAAAAATGTACAAGTGTAAGCTGAATACTAAAGACTATTCCCTAATAATCATATAGGCCTAAAGAATGGCTTGACTTTGACCCCTTGCTTACACACAACCATTTGTTAGTTAATCATTTGTTAAAGAAGGTCTATTAGTATAAACATTGGATGTTTTTATTAATCTTCTGAAGATAAGCAAGTCTTTCAGTCTGTCTTTCCGTTATGTCCGTTAACTGTTGCCAGTCTGTGTTGGTCTCTCCAGCGTCTGTATTTGGATTGACTCTTGCGGTAGGCGAAACGACCAATGTCCACCATGAACACCCAGGACAGCACATACATGGCAACTCCCCCACACTTTATAATGAACCTGGGCCGTGGGGAGATGAGCTCGCAGTACAACATCCTCCCGCCAACCACTATGCGCATGAACACAAATAGCACTACAAACAGAATATCGACCGCCTCCCCTGTCAGGCTCTCATAGCGACCCAACTGTCTCAGGAACCAGCGAGCTTGCAGCAGGGGGTTGGTGATCTCGCTAGCAAAGATTACGGCACAGGACTCGATGCCTGATTCCCCCAAGCTCAGGGTCAACAAGATACCCAGGATGCTCATGGTGTGGTGGGCCAGCATCACCGGGCCCTCGGTGCAGAAGTACATACACCAGCCCATGTCGAAGATGAAGTAGCCCAGGCTAATGACCATAGCACTGATCTGAAGGGGGGTGTTCTTTGTGCCTGGAATCAAGATCACAACGTTATTGTAAACAGTATTCATGGTTAGTAACATACATACACATATCAAAGTATACTGATGAAGAAACTAGATTTAAAAAATAAAAAATAAACATGATGCTCTATACTAACTTTACCACCTTTACAGAAAGGTGGTACAGGAGCAGCACTACATGGGATTAGATAGTGAGCATCTTACCTGGATGTGTGAAGGGCCAAGGTCCATCCACATAGCCTATGTATGCTGTTATACAGACTGCCAGGATTCCATGGAGCAGTGTGACCAGCCTACAGTTCCACTCAGAGCCACGGCTGCCATTGGTGTTACACAGTAGGGTGTAGAGAGTAATCCAGCCTGTTAGGCATAGGACCAAGCCGACAGCCAGCGATGTCATCCCTCAGCTAAATACACAAAAACATAATTGCAATACGGAAATACATTACCTTTCAATGAACCCTTGTTATAATCCAAAGTGACTGATAAACAGTGTTTATCTGAACTGAGCAGCTGTAGTGCTCTGGCCAGTCTGAGTAGTGAGGATCTGGTGAGGGGGACATCTCATGTCGTTGTATTGGGAAATGAGACCATGATACACCCTCGTTGGTAAGGAGAAATGTCATGCTTCAGGGAGTTTCAAAACTAGTCCAAAAGTAATTGTGTCTGGGGCAGTGGGGCTGCACATCCTTGTCTTATAGACAAGAGGTGACATAGTAAATGTTAATCCGGGACACTCAAATTAGTATGATACACTACATGACCAAAAGTATGTGGACACCTGCACATCCCAAAATCTCATTCCAAAATCATGAGAATTAATATGGAGTTGGTCACCCTTTGCTGCTATAACAGACTCCACTCTTCTGGGAAGGCTTTCCACTAAATTTCAGAACATAGCTGTGGGGACTTGCTTCCATTCAGGCACAAGAGCATTAGTGAGGTCAGATACGGATGTTGGGCAATTAGGCCTGGCTCGCAGTTGGTGTTCCCTTTCATCCCACCAAAGGTGTTCGATGGGGTTGAGGTCAGGGCTCTGTGCAGGCCAGTCAAGTTCTTCCACACTGATCTCGACAAACCATTTCTGTATGGACCTTGCTATGTGCACGGGGGCATTGTCATGCTGAAACAGGAAAGGTCCTTCCCCAAACTGTTGCCACAAAGTTGGAAGAACAGAATCGTCTAGAATGTCATTGTATGCTGCAGCGTTAAGATTTACCTTCACTGAAACTAAAGGGCCTAGCCCGAACCATGAAAAACAACCCCAGACCAGTATTACTCCTCCACCAAACTTTACAGTTGGCACTATGCATTCGGGCAGGTAGCATTCTACTGGCATCCGCCAAACCCAGATTAGTACATCGGACTGCAAGATGGTGAAGCATGATGCATCATTCCAGAGAAGGTGTTTCCACTGCTCCAGAGTCCAATGGCATTGCGCATGGTGATCTTATGCTTGTGTGTGGCTGCTCGGCCATGGAAACCCATTTCATAAAGCTCCCGATGAACAGTTCTTGTGCTGATGTTTCTTCCAGAGGCAGTTTGGAACTCGGTAGTGAGTGTTGCAACCGAGGACAGACTATTTCTACGCACTACGCGTTTCAGCACTCGGCGGTCCTGTTCTGTGAGCTTGTGTGGCCTACCACTTCGCGGCTGAGCCGTAGTTGCTCCTAGACGTTTCCATTTCACAATAACAGCACTTACAGTTGACCATGGCAGCTCTAGCAGGGCAGAAATTTGACTTGTTGGAAAGGTGGCATCCTATGACGGTGCCATGTTGAAAGTCACTGAGCTCTTCAGTAAGGCCATTCTACTGTCAATGTTTGTCTATGGAGATTGCGAAGGAGGGTGGTTGGTAGGGAAGGCGTATAACGCACACATCTTGCAACCAAAAGGTTGCATGTTCGAATCTCATCATGGACAAGTTTAGCATTTTAGTAACTTTTCAACTACTTAGCATGTTAGCTAACCCTTCCCTTAACCCTTTTAGCTGACCCTTCCCCTAACCTTAACCCTAACTTCTAGCCTAGCTAACGTTAGCGACCTAGCTAACGTTAGCCACAACAAATTGGAATTCGTAACATATCATATGTTTGGCAAATTCGTAACATTGTACATTTAGCTAATTCGTAACATATTGTACGTTTAGCTAATTCGGAACATATCATACGAAATGGATGATGGACATTCACAAATTAATACATACCATACGAAACATATCATACTAAATGGTGTTTCGCGGATTTACGTACAAAATAATATGAAATGCTATGAGACCAGGTTGCACTGCAGTGCAGACAGTCGCCATTTCTGCCAGTAAACAGTAAACTGTTGTGTGTAAAGCAAGCTAGAGTATTTATGTATTATTTATTAATTCACCTTTATTATGTACATTATGTAATTTAAAAAAAAGCAATATCCAAATGTAAATGTTTATTATTAATATCATGAATTTGGCATATTATTTATAGAGCTAGCTATGTTTTCCCCTGTTCAGCTGTTTTGACATCAGTGCAGAAGGGGAGAGAGCAGCTAGCATAGAGCACCACTATGAGTCATAATACCCATAAAACCTAGTGGTCAAACAGGGAAATGGTTCAAATCATGTTCCACCATACATTTTTCCAATAGGGGATTTTAGAAACACTTAAAATAAGGGCTGTGTTTCATGTAGGCTTACCCTGGCGTGACATTTTGATAAAAAATAAGGGCTGTGTTTCATGTAGGCTTACCCTCGCGTGACATTTTGATAACCGTGTAAATCTCTTTAGGACAAGGTGACTTTTATCAATATATTTGCCTGTATTCATCCCCCAAAAATGAAATGCTAATTAGCTGCTAATGTGGCTATCATAAAGAACTACAAATGCCATGATGATCTGGACAAGACTGCCAAATCGAGGCAAATGTAAGACTCTCTGGAATAACTATCTGTTAGTTAAGTGTAGTAATGAATAAATTGCCAACATTTCTTTAAAAATTGACAATTCTGTGAACTGTCTTGTGCAAGTTTTAAATTGACACAATACCTGTTCGCAAAGGTGTCAGCTAGAGATGACGTGCAGGAGCTTGCAGGGACTTGTAGATTTGCACAATGTCTACTTTGATGCTAATTAGCTATTTTGAATCAGAGTAAATAGAACCGAATATATCGATAAAAGTCACCTTGTCCAAGAGAGACTTACATGGTTATCAAAGCGTCATGCCAGGGTAAGCCTACACAAAACACTGCCCTTATTTTAAGTGATTCTAAAATCCCCTATGGGAAAAATGAATGGTGGAAAAACAATTGGAACCATTTCCCTGTTTGGCCGCTAGGCTTTATGGGTACTATGACACCTCCACTGTGGGGCTCTATAACAAATAGAGAAAATAACACTGGCATGATGGCTTCAGACCGAGCCATTTATAAAGATGAGAATATTTGAGCTAAAAACACATTAAAGTGAATACATTTGAATCCAGATGAGCTGTCTAAACTATTCAAGATCAGTTTGCTAAGGCAGGCTTAGAGGACAGCGAGCGAGATAGCTTGAGGAGCCAAGCTCTCCTTGTGTGTCTATCACATTTTTGGAAACAGAACAATGCAAAATAACTACTTTGTAACATCACCTTATTTCTGCGCCGCGTGCACGTTCATGTCGGTGACATCTCATCTTCTGTCCCTTTGTGACCAGCATGGTCCCTCGGATGACAATCACTTCATCTTTGGTTCTTTGTGTCCATGTTACTCGGCTCAACAGAAAAATGAGCGTCTAATCTCAATTGCCAACTCCCCCACCTTGTAGTGTCAGCAACTGGTGCTGTAGATTGCTGCCCAACCCAAAACGAAATTAGTGAGTTAGTTTTCAACACTCAATAAGTAAACAAAATATAATTACTGCTAGCCTTGTTCCGAATGTAACTGTACCGTCGTCGGGTGGTGTCTAGTTGTCAACTTGTCATCTATAATGGGGTTGTGGCGCCATCCGCTGGTAATATTTACGTATTTTTCAATCAGTGCATGGCGGTGAAAAGGGGAGATGCAGGCATACGCCTTTTGTATAAATGTTTTCTCTGGTACCAGTGAGAAATATGAAAGCTACATGAAAATGTATACTGTACTTGGAGCATGATAGGTTTTAGTGAATTTTCCCATCTCGTTCTGAGGTCTTAGAATCTCCTCAGATTTTTGCTGAATTTACCCCCCCACAAAAGTGCAGTGCAAAAGAGGTGCCTTTATTGAAGGCAAAATATACTTTTGAATTGTAAATGATTCCATCATTTTTCTGTGGTATTGCTCTTCGCAAACATACACAACTCTTTCATAGAAAAATATGTTTGAGACTTTATTATAGTTTCACATAGCAAAAATCAGTTGAAGCGTTAAGGCACATAGGTAGGTTACCATAGAATGGGCTTTTTTTTTTTTTTTTTAAAGGACATTTGGTTTGTCAGTTGGGAAGATGTCATACACAAACAAAATGAACAAAGACATGGAATTAGCATAATTTGACTTGATTCTTTTAGTCCTACTTGAACAAAGTGTGCCGTGTGGAATGGGATCACATATCCAAGTGATAATCAAGAAGGCCTACATTTATAATAAATTGTGATGTTAATTAAATGAACTGACATGAGAAATATAATAAATGGTGGTAAAGGGGTTCAACTGACTATGGTTAGACGTTTTTTCAATAATCCATGTGTCGGAGTTTGAAAGGAATGCATTAGCTACGCATTGCATTAACAGGAGGTGGAAGTATTGCTTTGAAAGTTGTTCATCAGATCCATTGCATGATAAATGAAAGTGGCCAGGCAGTTGAGTAAGCACTAGATCCAACACAGCCTGGCCCTAGACAGAAATCAAATCTGATAGGTTGCAACTTTAGCCTTTCCTTGGAGAATATTTCATTTGTGAATCTTTACTTTGGTTTAGCTTCAAACTTGGAAAGAATAATGAAATATAAGCAAATCAACTTGGAAACCTGTCAAAATGAAACATATGTCAAAGAAAAATCATGACCATCAGTGATTGAGCTGTGAATGATCTTCAAGTGAGTGGCATTCTCTTTCAAACCCAGACTGTTCACAAATACTCAGGTGATAGCGGTGATCTTCCATTGTGAATTGGGATTCATGAAATTTGGTCCCAGGAAAATCACATTGACAGAAGAAAAACAACAACATTGAGGCTACTGTAATATAATAGATAGAAGTAACTTGCTTTCAAGAATATAGGTTAAATTAGCATCAATATCTACACTGTTATCTAAATACAATGCCCACACATTTTCACAATATACACTGAGGGTACAAAACATTTGGAACACCTGCTCTTTCCATTACATTGACCAGGTGAAAGCTATGATCCCTTATTGATGTCACCTGTTAAATCCACTTCAATCAATCAGTGTAGATGAAGGGGAGAAGACAGGTTAAGATGATTTTTAAGCCTAGAGACAATTGAGACATGGATTGTGTATGTGTGCCATTCAGAGGATGAATGGGCAAGACAAAATATTTAAGTGCCTTTAAACGGGGGATGGTAGTAGGTGCCAGGCACACCGATTTGAGTGTGTCAAGAACTGCAACTCTGCTGGGTTGTTCACACTCATCAGTTTCCCCGTGTGTATCAAGAATGGTCCACCACCCAAAGGACATCCAGCCAACTTGACACAACTGTGTCCAGGTACCATTGGTCAACGTGGGCCAGCATCCCTGAGGAACGCTTTCGACACATTGTAGAGTCCATGCCCCGATGAAATGAGGCTGTTCTGAGGGCAAAAGGGGGTGCAACTCAATATTAGAAAGGTGTTCCTACTGTTTTGTACACTATGTATATCATCTGTCTGTCTTGCTAAAATTCTACTGTCTAATTGCTAACAGATGCAGAATTGGAGGAAATTAGGCTTGTAATTGACACAAATCAAAGAAAATGTGATGAAGATAAGAAAACTTTAAAGATTAGTCATTTTATACATAAGAATCTTTAATAATTTCACCTTGCAACCAAATAAATAATGCCAGCATCAGAGAAACATTGTCGAGTGCAACCCAAGTTGCCATCGACCAGGAAGAGAGCTGGCTAAAGCTGTGTTGTTATTGATGTCATAAGTCATTGTCTAACTGACCGCTCCGATCCCGCATCCCACGGTTTCCTGTGACAACATAATGGGAACGTTGTTCCTTCACCAGTCATCCCACGGGGCAAGAAATGTAGAAAAGTAGCTGAACTGTCCAGCCGTATGCATAAACGTGTCCTTATGAGAGCAGGTTCTTGAAGTCATTTTCTATTAGCTGGGCCATATTGAGACGTTTTCCCAACATTGGCACAAATGTGCGAGAGTAATTTAATGTCACACAGCAGGTACCTGGACACGTCGGAGGCATCATATCCCAACTATAGGAAATGTCCCCTATGGACATGTCAAAGGAGTCATTGAGAGGGTATAGCTCCTGTTGCAAAAAAAGGTTTTGGTCTCAATTTCAACCTAAACTGTCCCAAGTAAGGCATCAAACTACTATCATCTCACTACAGGATGCAGCCCAATGGCTTTGGGATGAACTGGGTGGTGTGCTGCTAAGTCTCCTCATCCCAGAGACAGAGCTGTTTGTGGGGGACATAGTAGGTGAAGTGGTAGCCTTTGCTGCAGCTTTTGATGCCACACTTGTAGGGGCTGCCTTTGCCCGTGGTGTCGCGGTTGCGGCAGTACTTGAGCAGGCAGGGGTACCACTCCAGACGCAGGCTGTAGCTGCAGGAGCAGGCCTGCCACAGGTCTCTCGTAGAGCGGCACGACAGCAGGACCGGGACCACGTCCACCGACTGGGGCAGGATCTCAAACATGGAGCCCTCCACTCCTACAGGTGCAGCAAACAACATATTTGTGAGTCAATGCTCTAATAAGGTAGCCTGGTCCCAGATCGGTTTGTGCTGTCTTGACAACTCCCACTGTGACAATGGCCATAGATGGCATAGAATGGCAAGATGGCACAAACAGATCTGGGACCAGTCTAGCAATAAGGAACTTTGTCCTGCAAAAGAGTGCTGCTATCTCTATTCACTCACAGATGGTTCACCATGCACTGTACTATGACCATCAGGCTACATTGTATACAGTACTGTACATTAGCTATACCTAGACACTGTGGACTTAATATAAACTAAACTAAAGACACAGGGCTCTTTTCAATCAGCAAAATAGTTCTCGCGAAACAACTATCAACAATCACGAAACGTGATTGCCTAAAGTTGAGCCAAGTATACATTCATACAGAGAAAGAGAGCTTTAGGAGCAAAACAGACTCTTTCAGGGAGAGAGTGTTTGACTTTACAGTAGATTGCATAATCTTTGTTTACTTTGTCAAAGACTAATAGTGTTATTGAAGTAGAACTGGGCTAGTTTGGTATGGTAGTGTACATATAGAGCTAAAATGCATTGGATTAATTTACATTTGAGGGAGTATGTGATTAAGGTCTAGACCAAGGGTGGGAAACTCCGTTTCTGGAGGCCATAGTGTGTGCTGGCTTTTATTCCAGCCAATCATATGAGAGAGAGAGAGAGAGAGAGACAGAGAGCGAGAGAGCGAGAGCTGACCTATCCACATGAAAAAGAGAAGCTGGGAGGACAAAAATGAAAGGTGATCTGTATCTTTTATTCCACGTCCACACAATGGTGGACAAATGTGCATCATGTCTTGAGAAAGACCACTAGGCCAAAACATTGACTCTGAAAGATACAGATCACCAGTGGTGTAAAAAGTCCCCAATTGTCATACTTGAGTAAAAGTAAATATGCCTTAATAGAAAATGACTCAAGTAAAAAAGTCACCCAGTAAAATACTACTCGAGTAAAAGTCTAAAAGTATTTGGTTTTAAAAATACCTACGTATAAATCATTTCAAATTCCTTATATTAAGCATACCAGCCTGCACCATTTTCTTGTTTTTAATTTTTTTTACGGATATCCAGGGGCACACTCAGACATAATTGACAAATGAAGCATGTGTTTAGTGAGTCCGCCAGATCAGAGGCAGTAGGGATTACCAGTGATGTTCTCTTGGGAAGTACGTAAAATGGACACTTTTCCTGTCCTGCTAAGCATTCAAAATGTCACGAGTAATTTTGGGTCTTAGGGAACATTTATGGAGTAAAAAGTAAATTATTTTCTTCAGGAATGTAGTGAAGTAAAAGTAAAAGTAGTCAAAAATATAAATAGTAAAGTACAGATACCTCAAAAAACGACTTAAGAGTACCTTAAAGTATTTTTACTTAAGTACTTTGGACCACTGCAGATCACCTTTCATTTTTGCCTCCCAGCTTCTCTTTTTCCATTTGTATTCATGCCCTTTGGGACGACATTATCTGTGACACGCTGTGCCCACATATTCATTCTATTGACCTCTCTCCAGCCAATGTTTGACATCCCTCTCCCGGGTGTAGATGGCGTCCCGGGCCTCACTGCACATGTTGTGGATGTGGCTGCTGAGCTGCCACGCCCGGCTCAGGTTCACCGCCACGTTCATGGTCAACTGGTCCAGGCCCCGCCTCTCCTCCGCTGCGCGGATGGCGTGAGGGTTTTTCTGGTGGACCGCAGGACAAAGTCAGTCATGTTGCCAAGGTCACTTTATCAAATGGGATCATGCTCATTCACTTCCCCCACTCCCAGCAAGGACACTCACTGGCCTTATTATTCATTACTTGTTATTCCCTGTACACTTCCTTTGGAGTTATCACTGATCTGACACAGCAGGAATAGGTGGAAGCTACATAGTGGAACTACATAGGAACTTCTTGCTAGCAAGTATCATGTTGTGTTAGATCAGTGATTACCTGAAGGAAAGGAAGAAAGAAAGGATACATTTTCAACATATTCAAACAGGGCAACTCAGTAAGTGAATTTCCCTGTACTACTAGTGCATATGTAGTGGAGGAGGTTTGGAACCACTCTCATGTGATGACTAAACTTGCCGGAGACCTGAATACTTCCGTTAGCTCCCTAAGCTAATGCCTTGGCTTTAACTCAACGACTAACAGTCTTGAAGCACCTGAGACCCGGGTTAGAACTCCGGTCGGTGACACACATACCTGTCTGAGTCGGGCCATGGACTCGCTGGGGATGAACTCGTTGTGGTTGAGGCGCGAGATGAAGCACAGGGCCTGGTATTGGCTCTGACCCCTTTCCAGCTCCCCAAGGATGAGCGCCCGGAAGATCTTCACATCCTGAAGGGGAGGGAAGGAGAGATTGTGAGGCAGCATGACTGCAACTGCATAGGCTCTGGGACGTGTTCATTATGTACCAAATAAACATTTTTTACAAAATAAAAACGATTGAAACAGCGAGGGACAACCTGGACTTGTCCAATAAGAAATAACGATTGTAATGTTTTTAAAACGTTTTGCTAGGGTGTGCCATACTGTTTTGGACCAGTATAGTAGGTTTGAAAGAAGGTTGGAATGCAAGTTAAGCAACTGAATCCTTCATTCTGCATCTGCACTGTTACACACTAAACCCACATTAAAATTAGAGATTTAGAAAGAAATTAGAACATTTAGTCTCCTTTCACTAGCACTGCTTATTTGCACAGTCAAATCGGTGCCCAAATAGTTCTTAAACTAACTCAACACCCATAACTTCAAAAGAGGAATCATCTCATTACACTTTTCATGTTGACAAAGCAGAAAAATGAAGATGTTGGAAGGAAGGTTTTACCACGACTTTGTTGCTGTTGGCAACCAAACGAGAGATCTGGCTGCGGCCCCAAGGCCATAAAGAGAAGCTCCAGCCGAGGACAGCAAAGCCACAGACCTGTCTCCCCCATTCATCAGCTCTCCCTTCCCTGACATCCTCTTGGCTCTTCTCTCACTCCTTCTCAGCTTTTCACACACACATACACATCCCAAGTAGACAGCCCGCAGAGGAGAACCAGCTTTAAGGCTTTTACTCCCGGGGAATAAGGAGGAACTCTTGGACAACTCAGATAAACAAACTAGATCTACAGCCCCCTCCAACCCCCGTTTTGTTTGCCCTCACAAGCGCTTTCGTCACACTCATTTGGGAAACGGTACTTTAGAACAACACATCTATCTGGTCTCCAGAGATACTTGTCATTAATTCACTGCCTTGTATGGGAAATCTGGTAGTTGGTAGAGAACGTCGCATGCAACGCCAGGATCATGGGTTTGAGTCCCGCTGGGACCCCCCATACGAAAGTGTATGCACACACTACTGTTAGTTGCTTTGGATAAAAGCCTCTGCTATATGGCATATATTATCTATCTCAACCTGAGACAAACAAGCAGCTGATAATGACTTGGACATTCCTCCACTGTTATAATAAAGTCAGTGATGTTGTCATTGCTTAACTGATCTGTGTGTTGGAATAGCAAAGCACATAATTGAAGTATAACCGGAGCCAGACATGACGGAATCATGGCATAAGAAGTGAACGAGAATATAAGAAAACACAGAAGGGGAGGTAGCTGTTATATTTTCCCCCTAGACGTGAAGAAGTAGTGGCAGTATAGGACCTCCCAGTCAGTAGACAAATGGCGCAGCGGCACTGGGTGGGAAGATGAGAGCTGTGTGTGTGGTGTGGGGGGCATTCCTGTCAGATAGGGAGAGGGGGTTGGGGGGATGGGGACTGCTCCAGGCACACTCAGGGTAATTTCAGGAAAGTTCTAGCAGCACTGCTCCTTTCCTCTGAAACCACCTCCCACCTCAGCCACCTTCAGAGGGGAAAAGCCCCGGCAGAGAGCAGCAGAAGGGGAAGACAAGGCTTCTCCAACCCCAGCGTTCATCATGCTAGGTGTTACGACTGGGTGACGTCTATAACCTCCTTCTCTAAACTATGTGTGAATTTCAAAAAGTGTTTTTTTTTTGTACAAGAAGAAAAATATGTTTAAAAATAAGTGCAAAAAACATTTGATGTATGGTATTTCTAGGGCAGTTTCACTAACCCGGTAAATGGGTATCATTTGTGAAAACAAATAAGATGAAACCCTCTGTTCTATAAATACAACAGCACGAGTAGGATCATGCTTTGTTTGTTTGGAGTAGTCCTAACTTCTGGCTGCAACAGAAGCTCTATGCCAAGTCACACTAGGTTGGCACCTTCCCAGGCCCAAGTACCACAGCAACACTGTGTGCTCGAGAAAAGAAAGACATTAGGTTACAGGATAAAAGTGAGATAAAATGTGCAACCAATGGTGGGTGGTGTCAGAAAATGCCAAGAAAAGTGGTACACCTGCTCAAATAATGACAGACTGTAAATAAGACATGTCAAGAGAAAGGCACCATGCGAGGGAGTATTAAAGCCTAAGAGATCAAAAGATAGATCCTACTTAGAAATCTGCCAAGTGAGTTATTTTTAAATCAGTGCATTATGCAAATGCTTTGTGGCCAAAAGCAAAAGTATTTAGCAGCAGATGGTGACTGAGTACAAGCTACTGGCCACCTCAGATCTATGTGAATAGATAGTCAGTCCCAATTCACTCCCTACCACTTCCCTCTGACCCTAACCCTCTGATGTTAGTGCATCTGGAAGGTGGAAGCAATATGATGGAAGCTCCACCACTAGTCTGATATAGTTATCAAGATTCTTCAGATCCGCAAAAGACAAAGAGCTAATCGATAGATTAGCTACAGTTGAAGTCGGAAGTTTACATACACTTAGGTTGGAGTCATTAAAACTCAACCACTCCACATATTTCTTGTTAACAAACTATCGTTTTGGCAAGTCGGTTAGTGCATGACAAGTAATTTTTCCAACAATTGTTTACAGACAGATTATTTTCACTTATAATTCACTGTATCACAATTCCAGTGGGTCAGAAGTTTACATACACTAAGTTGACTGTGCCTTTAAACAGCTTGGAAAATTCCAGAAAATAATGTCATGGCTTTAGAAGCTTCTGATAGGCTAATTGACATCATTTGAGTCAATTGGAGGTGTACCTGTGGATGTATTTCAAGGCCTACCTTCAAATTCAGTGCCTCTTTGCTTGACATCGTGGGAAAATCAAAATAAATCAGCCAAGACCTCAGAAAAAGAATTGTAGACCTCCACAAGTCTGGTTCATCCTTGGGAGCAATTTCCAAACGCCTGAAGGTACCACGTTCATCTGTACAAACAATAGTACGCAAGTATAAACACCATGGGACCACGCAGCCGTCATACCGCTCAGGAAGGAGACGCGTTCTATCTCCTAGAGATGAACGTACTTTGGGGCGAAAAGTGCAAATCAATCCCAGAACAACAGCAAAGGACCTTGTGAAGATGCTGGAGGAACGAGGTACAAAAGTATATATATCCACAGTAAAACGAGTCCTATATCGACATAACCTGAAAGGCCGCTCAGCAAGGAAGAAGCTACTGCTCCAAAACCGCCATAAAAAAGCCAGACTACGGTTTGCAACTGCACATGGGGACAAAGATCGTACTTTTTGGAGAAATGTCCTCTGGTCTGATGAAACAAAAATAGAACTGTTTGGCCATAATGACCATCGTTATGTTTGGAGGAAAAACGGGGCGGCTTGCAAGCCGAAGAACACCATCCCAATCGTGAAGCACAGGGGTGGCAGCATCATGCTGTGGGGGTGCTTTGCTGCAGGAGGGACTGGTGCACTTCACAAAATAGATGGCATCATGAGGAAGGAAAATTATGTGGATATATTGAAGCAACATCTCAAGACATCAGTCAGGAAGTTAAAGCTTGGTCGCAAATGGGTCTTCCAAATGGACAACAACCCCAAGCATACTTCCAAAGTTGTGGCAACATGGCTTAAGGACAACAAAGGCAAGGTATTGGAGTGGCCATCACAAAGCCCTGACCTCAATCCTATAGAACATTTGTGGTCAGAACTGAAAAAGCGTGTACGAGCAAGGAGGCCTACAAACCTGACACTGTCAGGAGGAATGGGCCAAAATTCACCCAACTTATTGTGGGAAGCTTGTGGAAGACTATCCGAAACGTTTGACCCAAGTTAAACAATTTAAAGGCAATGCTACCAAATACTAATTGAGTGTATGTAAACCTCTGACCCACTGGGAATGTGATGAAATAAATTAGCTTAAATAAATCATTATTCTGACATTTCACATTCTTAAAATAAAGTGGTGATCCTAACTGACCTAAGACAGGGAATTTTAACTAGGATTAAATGGTCAGGAATTGTGAAAAACTGAGTTTAAATGTATTTGGCTAAGGTGTATGTAAACTTCCGACTTCAACTGTATGTCCCAAATGGCACCCTATTCCCTATATAGTGCACTACTTTTGACCAGGGACCACAGGGCACTAGGGAATAGGGTGCCATTTGGGACGCAGTCAGGGATGCTAATGGTGCGAGGAGTGTATGTTACCCTTCCTGTTGGCCCACCCACCTTGCACTTCAGAGACTGGCACTGGTCGTATCCACAACTGCCAACCTAAAAGATTGACACTTAAAAGGACAAAGATAACTCAACTCGTTGACACGTGTGACAAGCTGTACAGTAGTTGTTACAATCTTATGTCATTTTTATTCAAGCATTTCCAGGTTTAAATATGTCCCTAAAATGAAGTGTGTAATACATACTACTTAAGAGAATCTGAAGGGACTTGCTTCCATTCAGCCACAAGAGCATTAGTGAGGTCGGGATCTGATATTGGGAGATTAGGCCTGGCTCGCAGTCGGAGTTCCAATTCATCCCAAAGGTGTTCGATGGAGTTGAGGTCAGGGCTCTGTGCAGGCCAGTCAAGATTCTTCCACACGATCGACAAACCATTTCTGTATGGACCTCGCTTTGTGCACGGGGGCATTGTCATGCTGAAACAGGAAAGGGTCTTCCCCAAACTGTTGCCACAAAGTTGGAAGCACAGAATCATCTATGCTGTAGCGTTAAGATATATCGTCACTGGAACTAAGGGGCCTAGCCCGAACCATGAAAAACAGCACCAGACCATTATTCCTCCTCCACCAAATTTTACAGTTGGCACTATGCATTCGGCCAGGTAGCATTCTCCTGGCATCCGCCAAACCCAGATTCATCCGTCGGACTGCCAGATTGTGAAGCGTGATTCGTCACTCCAGAGAACACGTTTCCACTGCTCCAGAGTCCAATGGTGGCAAGCTTTACACCACTCCAGCCGACACTTGGCATTGTGCATGGTGATCTTAGGCTTGTGTGTGGCTGCTCGGCCATGGAAACCTATTTCATGAAGCTCCCGACAAACAGTTATTGTGCTGACATTGCTTTAAGAGGCAGTTTGGAACTCTTTAGTGAGTGTTGGAACCGAGGACAGACAATTTTTACATGCTACGCGCTTCAGCGGTCCCATTCTGTGAGCTTGTGTGGCCTACCACTTCGCGACTGAGCAGTTGTTGCTCCTAGACGTTTCCACTTCACAATAACAGCGCTTCCAGTTGACCGAGGCAGCTCTAGCAGGGCAGAAGTTTGACGAACTGACTTGTTGGAAAGGTGGCATCCTATGACGGTGCCATGTTGAAAGTTACTGATTTGATGCAACGGGTGTGGCTTAAATATTTGAAGGGGTGTCCACATACATTTGTATATATAGTGTACATCCATTTTGGGACTTTTGAATTAATGATTTATACCCATTGATTATTGAAATATATAACTTATGCCTCAAGCTTGGTTCAACTGTGGTACCCCATCAGAGGCCAAAATATAAGATTGATTGACTCAAATATTTGTAAACCCTTTAAAATGATTGATATCATGGATGGTCTATCCTTGCATCCATAGCTCCGTCTATGAATTTGAGACTGGTTACATTTACATCCCTCAGCTTTTTACCAAAACAGTGACCGCTTTGTTAATATTTGACCTACAGATTTGCGCTTTAAAATTACATGCTCCAAGCGCATGTTAAAATTTCAAACAACTGTTTGATGTAGTTATGATAAAATAAGCCCATCTGCTAAAAGCAGAAATATATGGCCACATAATTATATAGAATGTTTTTTACCCAACATTCAGAAACATCCCTGACAAAATTAGTGTGTTGCATTGACATCCAAAATTAAGAGACATGGCTTCTCATTTGACATTTCATAAAATTGACCTTTTCATTTACTAAGAGTCCTAGCCCATTTGTTATCTAACATTTTAAAATGTCAGTGCACTGATAAATAGGCTACACCAACTAAGTACGCCAAAGATGGTGGTTTGTATCCAAACTGACTATCTGCATTGGGGCGAAAAGCCAAAAGCTAGTGTACCCACACAACTTAACTTGCAGGCTCAACGTATGATCTAACATAGGAGAGGGTTTGGGCCCATTTCATTGGGTGGTTACTTTTTGTGGGTAGCTTATTTAAGGAGGTACACAAAAGCCTTTTCATGCACTCAAAGGTCCTATTTACAGTGAACAATCTCTGTAACTACGCTGTAGCCATGCTACCCAGACACCTTCAGAGAGAATATGCTGTTCATGGCTGTGAGAAAGAGAGTAGTAACTTCTGTAGAGCCGTAACGTTGAACGAACCATTGAAAATCAGACTGGTCACTATGACTGCTAGCGGGGTTAATGGCAGCCACTGAACTTTTCGACGCCAGTAAAAGTTGTGCCAAAGGCCGTCCCCAGAGTTCCCGTCGCTTCCTGTTTTCCAATCCCCTCTAAGACCCTGTCTGCTTGATAAGGCTGCTGTTTGGAGAGGCCCAGCAGTCACAGATTGACATTTGGGATCAGTGGTTTACCCAGTGAGTGGTAGTGGATGAAATAAGTCTTCGCATAAAGCTGTGAGAAAGCCAATGGTGGGCTTTTTCTTACCAACTACTCAAACTGCCAAAATG